ACACACACACACACACACACACACACACACACACACACACACACACAAACACATACACTCCTGGTTGCCCCAAAGTCCTTCCCTAGTAAGCTGGTCAGCCTCTCGCAGAGTTCCCTAAGTTCAAAAATTACTTCTATTTTCTTTAATTCTATTTTTTTGAGCATCTGATTATCTGAAGTAATTCACATTAAAGAGTGATTAGTAGGGATCAACTCTTCCTATGAGAATTTCCATTTAAAGGAAGATGTATCAGTGAGGCTAATGAGATGTTGGGAAAAACATTTTTGAGTGGCTGAATACCTAGCTGTTCATTTAGGAAGTTGATTTTGGTGTTATAAGGCTTGCCAAGAAGGCTAAAGATGACTTGTCTACCGGTGCTCATAATCTAATCAGGAAGGTAGAACAATTGTGGTACAAGAAAAAATAAAAATTCAAATCAGAGGCTATTAACTGCCAAGAAAATGATAAAAAAATAAAATTAATGACTAAGTTATGATAAGGACAAAGACAATTCCTCAATGTTACCAAGCCTAGGCATTCAAGGACATTTATCTGGATGTTGGTAGACACAGGATCTTGCCCTCTGCCTCTTACGGATAATGGCTTCACAATATCCTCAGGGTCTTAAGCCCTATAGCCAGTCAGAGTCACTATTTCATGGTTTCACTTGCACATAAATAAAAGAAAAATAGATTTTAAAATTAAACAACTTGAGCTTAGGGGCAGTTCTTAAGCCATTTACTAAATTTCTAGAGATTTGTAAAGCTCCAAACAAAATGCATTCATGAGTCCTTTAGCAAATGATTGAACCTGAAGTTTCACCACTAACTCCAGGGTAATCCTTGGACAGACAAATTGGGCAATGAAGGGTTGATATGAAATCATTTCCTGCAAAGGGATCCTCTTACCAGGTAGGCAAAGAAAGGTAAGTTACCCAGATGGAAGTTGCAAGAGTCACTTTTTCCTGAAAAATCACATCCTAACCCCCTGAGGCAGTAAAACCCTTCTCTGAGGTCTCATAGAAAGGTGGCCTTAGGAAGTTAAAACAAGCTTTGAATTAGGGCTGCCAGCCAGCAGGTTTTCTCTTGCAGCAGTGTTTGCTTGCCATCCATCCAACCCTGATCAGAGGCTTCAAAAGCTGGAGCTCAGCTCTATCCAGAGCACAGGGGATGCTGGGAGACAGGTCTGCCCAGGAAATGCCAGGAAACCCCAGAGCTAGGAGAGGTAGCTTAAAGGTCAACATCGGGGCATCTGGGTGCTTCTCAAAGCAAGTGGTAAAAAATACACCTTACCTCTATGCTCTAAAAATTGCCACCCATATATCTTTGTCTTTAACCATCCAATTTTCATTTCAAAGCCAAATGCTAATAGGATATTAAAATAATATGCATATTACTAACCCAGGCTATTGGCAACTGCTGCTCAGTGCAAGCCCTTGACATTGCCTCCCTGTATCTAACCATGGTTCCGCTTAGTCTGGCTTTCTGCCTTTGGCAATGGCCGGGGTTTGATGGTTCACAGAAAGGCAAATTGCCTAGCTAATTAAAATCTGTACCTTTAAAAACACTTTTCTCTTATATTGCCAGGCAAAGTTAAATGGGTACAAATTTCTTATGAAAAGGCCAAAAATAAATTCTGGGCTTAGACATTGTAGATAAAATTGCTGCCTTAAATTCCAAGTTGCAGAAAAATAAAGGCGTTATCATGAAAATTGTTATTTAGCTGTAAGTGTGGGGGTGTAGGTACAAAGCCATTATTAACCTCCTTTATAAATGGGCATGTCAGGAACTTCGAAGGAAGCCCCAGAGTTTGGTCGCCAAATGCCAGTGTGTGTTAAATATTCACAGTGAACTCTTCTCCCTTTGGTAATTGTAATTCTACATCTATTTCTAGCCTTTCTCACCTTGGTTATAGCACTCTGCAAAGGTCATATGGATATCCGAAATCAACTGCAAAGGAGTATTCTGAATCCCTGTTGATAAATAAATTATGTCCCAATTACTGGTGCTTTTCTGAAATGTTACTGAATGAAGAAAAAAAATCAAACTTCTGAGCTCAGCATATCTTATTTTGCTATCAACTATATTTCTGTGTCTGTGTTCAAGTAACTAGTTCCCACTGGCAACTCGAAGGAGAGCTTTAGGTAAACAAGTCAAACTGTCTTCGTGTTTATACCTTTTTTGGAGAAAAAGTGAGAGTGCTGTAATTTTAAAAAATTAGAACAGTAACAACGTCATCTTGAATTTACAAAGTGCAGGAGTTGTTAGATCTGTGATTTCAAGTCTTCAACAACTCTTTTTGGGTGGGAATAGTCAGGAGTCTGTGTTGTGGTTGGAGCCCAGGTTGGCCATTGGGAGCTGAAATAGAGGTCAGGACTCCTGGCTCCCCGTCCAGACTCTGAGGACCCAGCAGCCTCCACAGGTACACTCAGAGGCCACACTAGATGCAAAAAGAACCATGTACAGAGAAGTGAGAAGGTCTCAAAGGTATTTGTTTCAACACTGAACGAGGAATTTTACCACGTTCACTCAGAACGTGGTTACCAAACTTGAAGAAAAAAGAGCCAGAACCACTAAGAAAGCCTGTGCCTACCTTAGAAAGGCAATGGGAAGTCTGTTTGTGTCTTTTGTCCACTTTTTAATGAGGTTGTTTGTTTTTTGTGGATTTGTCTTTTGCTTGTTCAATTGTTTAGGTAGCTTATGAATTCTAGACATTAGACCTTTGTTGGATGTATAGCTTGAAAATATTTTCTCCCATCTCGTAGGCTGTCTGTTTACTCTGTTGATTGTTTCTTTTGCTGCGCAGAAGTTCTTCAGTTTAATTAGGTCCCAATTGCCAATTTTTGTTTTTGTTGCAATGGCTTTTGAGAACTTAGTCATAAATTATTTCCCAAAGCCAACATCCAGAATGGTGTTTCCTAAGTTTTCTTCTGGGATTCTTATAGTTTGTGGTCTTATGTTTAAATCTTTAATCCATCCTGAGTTAATTTTTGTATATGGTGAAAGGGAGGGGTTCACTTTCATCCTTCTGCATGTGGATAGCCAGCTATCCCAGTGCCATTTATAAGGAGTCCTTTTCCCATTGCTTATTTTTGTCAACTTTGTTGAAGATCAGATGACATATAAGCAGCCAACAAACATATGAAAACATGCTCAACATCACTAATAATCAGAGAAATGCAAATCAAAACCACAATGAAATACCATCTCGCACCACTCAGAATGGCTATTACTAAAAAGTTAAAAAAAAAAAAGACAGACACTGGCAAGGCTGCTGAGAAAAGTGAATGTTTGTACCCTGCTGGTGGGAATGTAAATTAGTCCAGTCACTGTGGAAAGCCATCTGGAGATTTCTCAAAGAACTTAAAACAGAGCTACCATTTGACCTAGGAATACCATTACTGGGTATTTGTAAAAAAATTCATTTCATCAAAAAGACACAAGCAATTGTATGTTCACTGCAGCACTATTCACAATAGCAAAGACAGAATTAACCTAGGTGCTCATCAACAATGGATTGGATAAAGAAAATGTGGTATATATACACCATGGAATACTACACAGCCACAAGAAAGACGAAATCATGTTCTTTCAGAAACATGGATGCAACTGGAGGTCATTATCCTAAGTGAAATAACACAGAGACAGAAAACCAAATACCATATGTTCTCACTTATACGTGGGAGCTAAACACTGGGTACTCATGGACAGAAAGATGGCAGCAGTAGACCCTCGAGGCCACCAGAATGGGGAGAGAGGGAGGGAGACAAGGGCTGAAAAACTACCTATTGGGTACTATGCTCACTATCTGGGTGATGGGATCATATCCCAAACCTTAGCATCACACAATATACTCACTTAACAAACTTATACATGTACCCCATGAATCTAAAATAAAAGTTAAAATTATTTAAAAAAGAAGAAAGGCAATGACTTGCAACAATTAGCAGCCAGACTGATAGTCACCCCATACCCTGACAACCCACTCATTTGTTCTCAATCACATTTGGGGTGCTTCTACAGGAAGGGAATGGAGGAGGTTTGGCTCTTGGGACCACTTTCTGTGTCTGCGACTACAGAGTATAATGTTAATTTCTGGTTTGGTTTTTTGCTGGGTGGGGGGAGAGATTATTTTTCTTCTATTTTTTCTTCTCCCTACAGCAAAGCTATTTTTCTCTCATTCTTTTTAAATCATTTCATTGTCAAAGAAAACACAAAAGAGAGTTGAAAGCAATTCAAAACAGGGAATTTTTCACAGGGGAGAAAGCAGGGAATAGCATAAAATGGCTTCTTGCCCTTTTCTTCAAATTCCATATTAATATAAACAGCAAAAATTGATGGTTGGGGGGCAGCCATCTGCATCTGTTTTGAGTCATCTTTGTTTCCAGGCCTCGGTCTCTTCCCACACTGCTCTCCAAACTGTCATCAGGTTTAATGGCACGGCAGCCTTGGGCGCTGCACTCCATCCTCAGAGACCACTCAAAACTCTCAGTGGCCCTGAGTACTAGGCCCTTAGAATTAGAACCATCTTAGAGATCATCTGGTCTTGGAATTTCTTTACTCCCTTCTTTAACAACTTGGATTGAACATTTATAGAACACTTACTATGCACCAAGGAATGTTTTAAGTAGTTTATATATATTAGCTCATTCATTCATCACACAGCCCTATCAAGTAGGCACTATTATTCCTATTTACAGATGAAAAACTGGAGCACAGAGAGGTTGAGTCATTGTCCAGCCTAGCCCTCTACAGGGTGGCAGAGCTGCCTTTCCTTGTCAGATACTCTGCATTCCAGCCAAACTTGCTGTAGGCTCTAAGTCTCCATCTTATGCCTCTGCTCACTGCTGTTCCTTTTGCCTGGAAAGCCTCCACACCTGGTCCCTCCCCTCAACTCTGCAGTGTCCAAATCCTATGCAGCCTTCAAAATGAAGGGCAGATGCTATCTCCTCCAGGGAGCTTCTCCTAATCGCCTCTCCTTATTCTGAAATAGCAAAGTACTTCAATTGTACTGTGTGGCATGTGCCACATTCTGCCCTGCATTCTAGTTACATATGCATATATTTTACCTTTTTAAACATAAGATAAGCTGTCTGTGGTAGAATGCATATGTGATGATCTTCCAGCTCCCATATCACCTAGTGCATTCTTTGGCCCCCGTTAGATAACATCTGTTGCTGTATTTACCACATGGTAGGAAAAATGTGGGAATGAATATGCACATTATAGGTAACATTACTTCATAAGAAAATGGCCTCTTTTACACATTGCAATCAGGCTCCTATAAAATTGCATATTTATAAAATCAATATTTGCATCAAATGTGATGCAGTTTTTCCTAAGTGGGGAGGTATCTGTGTGATGTATAAGCTTGCAACAACAGAGCAGCAGATCTGAGGACCCCATGTATATATGCAGGGCGCTGTCTGCCTCAGATAAGCTGGAGATTGCATGGCTTCTTTGCATGCTCTTGTGTGAAAGAAAGCTTTTCTCTTGGGTCTCTACACTATCATTGCCCTTTCTGGGCCCATGAACTTTTGAACCAGGCAGTGGGGCTCTGCTTAGTAACTCTCTCACCCACCGATGTGCCCACATTGCAAGTGGTATTCACAGGCCACAGAAGCGTCACTGCTTAACCAGGAGCCTTGAGACTCAGCCACAGCTCAGGCCACCACCCTTGGGATGCAAAACACTTCCTCCCATATATAAAGCTACAAAGTCATTATTGATGACACGCAACCACACGGGTAAACTTATGAAGGGGCACACTTTTTCTAATTTTCTTGTAAGTATCAGAGAAACAGGCAGAGAGAAATGAACACAAAATATTTTGATCACTTAATAGGGTCTTACATAGTTAGTATCAGTTTATAATGGAATTTAAATCACCTCTCAACCTGAGTCTTACACTGTTCACAGTGCAATATTCCCTGAAGTCAGTAATGTAAGGGTGCTTGATTCTGGCTATGTATCAGATTTCCTATGGAATTTCACACGCACACACACACACACACACACACACACACACACACACAACCACCCCAGGCTCTCCTCTTGGAAATTCCGCAATTCCAAAAAACTGCCTAGTTCATTCTGTTGTGAATTCTGGGTTGAGAATTACTGTGACCAAATGAGACACAAAAATGATAGGCCATTCCGTCCCAGGCTGTGTCTTCTGCTGTTGCTGCTTTTTAATCAAAAAGGCTAGAGAGGAATCTCAGTGGGAACATTAGTTCTGCAAGTGACAAGACTTATAATATTTCATAACTATAGAAAACAGCAGGTGGCTATGATTTCAACAGCAGTAGAAGTAAAACATTTTTCCATAAGCACAAACCAAAATATATAAAACCGTACATACTCTAAAGAAGAGGAAATATAAATTCAAGATTGTGAAACTTATATTCTGTTTACACTTGAATACCATTAATTAATTATTGACAATATTTTAGTTTTAAAATAAAGCCGGAATGGAGAAGACTCATTATTGCCTGAGACTCTAAGGAAGGCAAACTGTTGTTTATTGAAAAAATTTAATGAACCATAGTCTATAGCCTTATGGAAAAGCTAGTACATTATAGTTTATAGCATGTAATTGATCTACAATATTATCTTCCATTCATCCTTATTAATTGCCTTTTCCATGAAACAGAGGGGCCTCACCTTGCCATCTTTGATTTGGCAGATGAGGCTGGATCTCATGCTGTCAGGGTTCACCCTGTGTACTCCCCAGCTGATGTTCTTTTTCTTTCTGACACTTCACTCCAGAGACGAGCCTTCATGCTGCTAACAATACTTTCATAGCCCTGTCTATCCTGAGAGTAGATTTTGTTCTCCACCTTTCTAACACAATCAAAGTTTACCACTCCCATGTTGCCTGATTCCAGAGTATCCTGCTTCCCAGACTTGATTAAGGAAATGTTAAAGTGTTTTGTAGAATAATCTGAGAAAATAGGACCTAATAATAAAATGCATCATAATTCCAGGGTACAGATTTGAGTTCAAAGGGATCTTCTGGCAATAGTGCCTTAGCCTAAAAGTGGTACTCTAAAAGTCAGAATTCCGGGCACTCAGAGTGAGGGGACTGATGCAGCTTTGGTAAAATGGGTCACTCTCAAATCACACTGCATAAGCATCTACCTAGTCTGCCAGTTCCAAGAGCTTTGGCTCACTGGTCCAGGTGGTCTCCTAGCCCAGAAGAGTATGAGAACTACAGGCTCCCTCTTTTGGTGTCTAGCACAGTCCAGGACTCACTATCCCTTCTGTTGAGGCTGAGTATTCAGAGTTAACCCAGCAGCTCATCATTCTTCATTTCTCTTCTATACAAGTTCTGGTGATTTTCCTGAAGCTACCATCTCCAAAGGAAGGAACAAATATTCAAAGCAGTCAATTTTGCTCTTGCTTAATAGTTCTGGCCTAAGTCTTGCCACCTGTAAATAACAGTGACTCTTCCCAATTTATTTCCCTTTTCCAAGCACAGTGGGGGA